AGCAAGTGCACTGATGAAGGACCCTGATGACAGGACCCTCCCTCCGGGGAAGGTGCCCCTCAGTGCTCTCACTGAGACATTTAAGACTCTATTGCAAGATTCTCATGCAGATGCTCTTGATGCCAGTGAATGAAATTGCCCCCAGCAGACTTAAGCACACAAAAGTAGTAAAGTACTTTTGTGTAGCAGGTAATAAAGCATTAAAATGATTTGCATTGTGAAAGGAACATGGCACAGTAATATATATATATATATATCACATATATATATAATTTGTAAATCATGTGTAATGGAATCTCTTATAACATAGTACAGGTTTATTTATATCAAGTTGTAAGTGAATGTATTTGATTTTAAAAGGGACATGATATTTAAAGGTATCAAATGATAAATTATTAAGATAAAAACAGAAGGAGAAAAACTGTACAAACAAGATCTTAAAGATCTGACACAAATATCACTAGAATTAATACATAAAATAAATTTCATTTTTGTTTAAAGAGTCTACCAATCAAATGCTACGTTTTGATGTACAAATCTATAGTAGACTTGTACTTAGAGAAGGTTGTTTTGAAAACATATTGTTATGAAGCAGAACACAAATGAGGAAGCAAGTGTCATAGCATAGTATTATTGCCAAAATCGTATCTATGTTTTCATTCAAAAATTTATCTGTAAATGAAAGACATATTAACTGAAGTAGACTCTCATTCATTGCTTACTAAGGAAATATTCTATTTCTTGCTTAAATTCATATTGGATTAGAAAGTTCAAATGGCAACAGAGATTTATTTGTTAGACGATTCAGATATTTGTATCTGAGGCTAATAGAAGAACTATTGAATGAAAAGGAAAAAATCAAAGAGAAAATGATTTACTAAGAAACAATCAAAAGGCCCAGTGGACTGTTTCAACTGGCCAGTTCTCCCTGTCCAAGCACCGGGATCTCATGTGGGCATTGTTCATGTCTGGCTGCAGCTCCCTGCTCCCTGCTCCCTGCTTGTGGCCTGAGAAAGTAGTAGCAGATGACCCAGGGCCCTGGGATTCTACCAGAACTGGAGACTCAGAGAGGCTCTGGCTCCTGGCTTCAGATTGGCTCGGGCCTGGATTTGCAGCCCCCTGGGGACTGAATCAGTAGATGAATGATCTTTCTCTATGGCTCCTCTAATTTCTGTAAATCTATGGAAATAAAAGTTTAAAAGAAAAATAACAATGAAATATGTGTCTTAGTACTGAAATTTACTGTAAAATTGGAGGGAAATAACAGCATTTAATGAAGAATTAAATACTAAAACTCACTGGACTTGTGCTGGAGAGTAGTTCCAGCTGTGTTCAGAGCTTATGAAGGCTCTGTGGAATTGGTGAGAAGGAAGGCATAGACCACTATGACTTGATGCTTATCAGGGACAACTCAAAAACCTGCCTTCTTTATTGGTACGGAAATCATCACAAGCCTTTGCACAAATATCCAGTTTTTTCATTTTTACATCATGGTTGAAAGAATAATTACAAAGATAATTCTAAAAATTTTTATAATCACTTCACTTCAAAGAAAAGCTTCTCAGTAAGCCATTACTTATTCAGACCTGCAGTCATCTGGCTGAGGCCAGGAACGCCATGATTGTCAGCACAAGTGGTTACATAGTGAAAGGTGATTTACTTATATCCAAAATCAATATTCATTTGACTTAAACTAATATTACTTTCAAAATCAAGAATGAAGAAAGTTTTAAAAAGCTTAGAAATGAATGAAATTTATAAAGACATATATCATTAATGCCTATTAAATCTTTTTTGCTTTATTATTTTTTTATTATTTTATTTTTATAATCTTTACACAGTTGATTAGGGCACAGAGGATCAAGAGCTGCAGGGAGGTAGGTAAGGCCAATGTTTCCACATTCTCTCTCTCTTTTTCCTTTTCTGTTTCTGAGGTGAGGGGGAAGATAAAAGGAGAAGCCCACCTAACCTCCCACCCATCCCAGGGTCCCTGACATGGTGCATGTAAAGGAGGGCACTGCTTAACTGGTTTTGATAGTTCAACAGTTCTGAATTGCTGCCAATTTTGCCATTACAAGTACAATTAAATCTCTCCAGAAACCACCTTAGAGTCTCTGTTTGCCCAGATTTTCACTGCCAGTCATACACTAACTACCATCACCTTCTCCTAGTACTGATTCAATTGTTATTATTCTTTTGTTAAAGGGTAGTGAGAAAGATCAGGACTGCTTTTAGCTGTGTCTCATTATCTTCAGTTACTAAAGACCCTTTTGCCAAACATGCTTGATATTCAGTATCCAGTATTACACCAGTTATAGAAATCCTCTCACATGTGCAGAAAAACATCACCCTCAAGAGAATTCCAAGTATCAGAGTTGATCGAGTGTTCATGCAAGAGGCGAGGCAGCAATGAGGTGATTAGAGACATTCCAGCTAGAAGTTCCTCTTAGCTTTGTCAACAGGGGGGCCATCTTCCTTACACCTTTGCACTGTTTGCCAGAACTGCATGGCTCCCTGTAGGCTTGAAAATGGGTTAATATATGCCATTGAAGAAATGTTAAAAGAGGATCAAAACATGTACTGTTCAATCACATATGGATTCAAATAATAGTCCCAACAAGAAGGAAAGAAACTTTGGAGCAGAAAAAAAATAATTTTGTGTCTATGGAAATATTTGAATTTTTGTCCTTGAGTCTATTGTGGTATATAACACTTGATTAATATAGATTGAATTGTCATATTTCCTGAGAAATAAATCCCTTTTGATCATGATGTACGATTCTTCCATTATGATATTGTTCCATTTGCTAGTGCTTTGTTGAATTCCTTTTTATTTAAATTTTTTTATTTATGTGCAAGGCAGAATTAGAGATGTGGGGAGTGGACTAAAGAGAGAGATCTTTCATCCCTTGGTTCACTAATTAAGTGGCAGCTAAAGCTGGAGTGGGACTGATCCTAACAGGGGAGAAAAAACTTCTGGGATTCCTAAGTGGGTCAGGGGCCCAAGCTTTAGGGTCATCTTCTGCAGGAAGGGGGATTGGAAACAGAGCCAAAAGGACTTTAACCAGAGTCCAGGTGGGATGCTGGTGCCACAAGCAGTGTCTTTTCTCACTATGTCACAGTACTAGCTGTTGAAGTCTTTGCTGTTTTGCACATAGGTTCCTTATGTATATGGAACTACAATTTCTTTTGTTGCATCTACTCAGCCACTAAAAGGGAATGTTACATTCACCTGTGACAGTCAAAACAGGTGTATTACACTGAGAGGGAAGGCAACCAACTGTAAAGCAGCTGACTGACTGACCAGGACCAACGTTCCTTTGCCAATGTATGGCCCCAAACAGCATATCCACAGGGTTTTTATAGGGACCCTTTGAAATGGTTTGTTGTGGCTGAACAGCCTGAGCACATCTCCTCTCCTCTCTGGTACTTAAGATAACCAGACTTAAGCCTTGGAGCCACCTGTGAAAAAACCAGACTCAGGTGTTGATTCCTGGGAACTGAGAGTTATCTGTGCTGAAGGTCAAGTAGGTGACTTGGCCTGCACGCTTGCAGTCTAAAAGAGAAGATATGAAAGCAAAAAGTATTGCAGTTAGCAATTAGCAATGTTTCGCCATTTTGTTTTCAACTCTACACTTCTGCTGCAGTTTCTCACTGTGCTTTTTGGTTTTTGATAAAATACATCTGCAAATATTCTTTGCTAATTATTTTGTGGACAATTTGGGAAGATTTGATGTTCCCTACATTTGGTGGAATTCTGCAATGACATCCTCCAATTCTTGCACTGATTCTTTGTTAAGGGAATTAAACAGCTCCTGTCTTCAGAACTCTAAAGCACAAGCAATTGTCATCTATTTTTCCTCCTTTCCTGAAAATGCTTTTAAACATTACATATTAAATTAGGACACAACGTCTTTCAAGTGTGTCATAACTTACTAGATCTTTGTCATTTTTCTGTTCGTTATGAGAGTCATGTGCTCATTGTAGTTTTAGGTGTGATTTATTTCATTCTGCTAGATTGACGACTTCTAGAAGTAGATTTATCACATAGTACCTAATACATTCATGTGCTGATAGTTAATAGTAATGGCTATTTTTTCATTAGCAACGTGAGACCATTGAGTTTTTCAGATGTTTGTGTTACAATTTTGAAAATGAAGACAATATATTTTCTATTTCTGTGTCAAAGAGTCCCATATGTCCCTCAGAAGCTATGTAGAAAGATTTGAGGGTTTTAGTGAGTAAAGGTCAGAGGCCATAAAGTAATGACATCTTGTTTCACACCACAGATACTTTAGAAAAGGACACAAAACATTTTCCAACACCAACTTTTATTTGTTTATTGGCAAGGCAGACACATAGACATGGAGCTCTGATCCACAGCTCAGTGCCCAGACATTCACAAAGGCAACAGCTCAGGGAGTGTGAAATCAACCCAGGTTTCCTACGTAAGTGACAGGGACCTAACCAGCTGAACCATCTTCTGCTGCCCCCCAGTGAGGGCATTAGCAGGAAGCTGGAATCAGGAACGGATCCAGGGACTCTAACATGGAACACAGGTATCCAACCCATTAGGTCTTCACCCCTAGGCGACATTCCTGCTCCTGGTTCAGCTCAGTGTAATGCTGTACTTTCAGAAAGTGTGATGCTCAGCACGGGGAGGCCCACACCCTGTATCATAGCATCCCCAACTCTGTGTTTTCAACTCAGCTTCTAACTAATGTACATCAGAGGCAGCACCTGACGGACCAAGCATTTGGGCTCCTGACACACATGTGGGAGACAGGATTGCATTACTGCCTCCTAGTTTCCACTTGGCTCAGCCCAGGTATTGGCAAATCCTCAGGGAATAAAAAGTGGCATTAGACTGTAAACCTGCAATTACAGATTAAGATCAAGGTAAAATCTTAATGAAGAGTAAAAGTCGGCTACACAAAAACTTGAAAAATAAAATTGAGGATTAGATTACAAGAAATTCTGAGTAAAGTTGAATATTTTACTTATACTAACATCTTGGAGTTTTTATCACACCGGGGGTATTCCAACTGGCCGTCAGAGCATGTTACTTGAAAGGACTGAGAAGTGGTGGGAAGATAGCCCTGCATACATTTAAATTCAACAACATCTCCTGTTTCAGCATAAACCTTTTGTTTTTCTCCACTCTTAAGCGTTATGTTATGTTTTTCCATGATTTCTTCTGTTATGACACATGCACCTGAAAGTAAAAAAATGAACAGAAAACACTCTATGACACATAAATCTTCTCCAGTCTTACAGAATTCAAGTTGACTGTTAAACAATTCTTAGGAAGTCTTTGTTATAATCATTTACAAATAAAGTCTGCTAAACATTATATCAAATATGTAAAATAAGTTGCTAAAACACTGCAATTTATGAAAAAAATGGTGTTTGATAACAGATATTAACATTAAAGGTACATTTCAATGACATATTAAAAGCTCTGCCTTTAAAATCTTCTAATAAACAGCATGGTGATGTTAGTTAATAATAATGCATTAATTCCTTCAAATTTTATAGGAGAGTATACGTTTAGAGACTTTAGCATGAAACCCGCTGCCAACTACACACTGCTCATGGAATGTTCATGAGGGCACAACGGTAACTGTGGGTGGTGAGGAATGTGTGAATCTGATTGTTGTGAAGCACTGCATTATATTACGTCAAATCATCAGTGTGTACGCTGCAAATACATGCCACTTTTCTGCTAAAAATTGTAAAATGAAATATAAAAATTGGAAACTTTTCTCAGCTTCATCTCTTCACATATAAATACTTGGTGTCAAGGACTCAGCATAATTGTTTTCATTAATCTGTAGACCTTCTATTGCAATCAGCATGATTTTATGTTCATTTCACCAATTTTCCCAGAACTCATGAGAATGTTAAAGCACTCACGTAAGCATCTAGGTGGTTTCCCCCAGTTCCCATTTCTACACGTTATTTTCTTTTCCCCCTCAAGCTTGTACATGGACTGGCATTGATACTCCACCGATGAACCATGAGGATACGCTTGCCATGGGAATGAAGTAATGTCCCCATTTTCAATTGGGGGAGGAGGTCCACATTTTCCTGTAAAATCTAAAACAAATTTTTTTTTAAAAAAGGAACTATTGAGACATCAAGTCAAACTACTGGTTAATTTAAAATAATCCAAAGAAAAATTCTGCATGATATATGATATCAAGAAACTTGAGATTTTGTGATTAAGAAAATGTTTTATGAAAGAAGTTTCATCACATAAACTAAACTACATGTATCAGGTCTTTTTAATGGTTCATTGTATTTACTTGATAGGCAGAGTGACAGAATAGGAGAGGGGAGGGACAGAAGCAGCAGGGAGGGAAGGGCGGAGGAGGGGAGAAAAGCAGGGAGGGGGAAGAGAAAAAAGAGAGAGAGAACGAGAGTGGTTCTAAGGCTGGCAGAGAATTCCATTTGGCTAGGGACTTCAGGACTCATTGACAACATAGCAGTGTGCCCTTTGTGTTCTGTGTTCAACCCTGTGTGTTGGAATGTCGTGGCAGAGTGCCTGGGTTCATGTCCAGGCTCTTCTCCCACTTCTGGATTCCTGCTAATATTCAGCCTAGAAGCAGCAGCTTGATGGCTCAAACATGAGGGTCCCTGCTACCCATTCAGCGGACCTGGATGGAGTGTCAGACTCCTGGATTCAGTGTGGCCCAGCCCCAACCGTGAGTTCTGAGGGATGAGCTAGTTGATCCCTGTACCTCATATTAAACGTAAAATATTAAATTCCTTTTCAAAGGGCCTGGAAAACTTCACAAGTGAAGATACAACACTGAGATGTCAGATGTTGAAACTGATAGCATTTTCAAAAATACAATAGAATTTATAGACATGAACCCAAGAATACGACTTTTTTTAAAAAAATGATTTCCATAGATGGGCATCATAGTAGATTAAACTTTCATGGAAGAATAAATCTATGAACTGGAGGACAAAGCAAAAGAAATTATCCAATATAAAAACCAAAACAAAACCAAAAACCAATTAAATAAATAAGTGAAAACTGAACTTCAGTTACTTTCAAAGAAAATATAGGAAAAACATTAAATAATAAAATGGAAAGAATATATAAATGGAAGCAGAGTGTAAAAGGAAATACAAATTATGAATATTGATACTAAATGCTGATACTAATAATATTAATGATGATGATGGCGGTGCAAATTCCTGGCTTTCCAGATTTGATACTCTAAAAATTCTAGAGCTATTTCTTAGTTCTCACAAATGCATAACAGTATGTAAGATGTTAACTTTATGAAAACTTAAGCAGAGTGTTTTGTGACTTTTTCACAGAAGTAAAACTATTAGCAAATTAAAACTACCAATATTGATAAGTTGAGCACAAGACATACTCTCACATAATCAGAGAATCAAGATGGCAGAGTAGGGTAAGGACACATTTAAACAGATGCAGAGTACTGGCCAGTGTGAAGCAGAGAGGGCACATTCCAGCAAATAGAAGAGGACAGAACGACAGCAGAGGGGTACTTGGAGACTGACAGACATGGGAAAAGAGGGGACACAACAGTGTGGTGTTGCAGTTACTGATACCCTAGTGGCATTCTGCGAGTGGCAATCTGAACTGCAGCAGAAGCTGGAACTCCACCAGCAATCAGGTGCAAAGGGGCATTCACCGCGAGCTCAGGAGGTGAACCCAGACAAAGAACTGCCCTTCCTATGTATCTGTGTGATTTGACAAGGAGCAGAGACAGAGTGGCAGAGCCCAGATGGGTGAGGCAAGAGCAGGATGGATTTCACAGCCTAGTCTGCCCCTTAGAGCTGAATCAAGTGCCATTTTGTATAGGAAGGCAAAGGCAATGGGAACGGAATGCACAAGCACTGAGCCAGGAATAAACTCATTTCTGTCTCAATGAACTGCAACAATGTGGCATTCTACAGGTTCCATCCAAAACAGGTTCAGGTAGCCCTCAGGCCTCATGGCCAGCAGATCAAGAACTATAGTAGTTCATGTGTTATTTTGCACAGTGTGGAAAAACTGCAGGGACTGCAGGGAATAAATTGAGCTGTGCATGCACTGAGCAAGGAGCAAACTCACTGAGCTCAGTGCCTTGCACTGGTTCCAAGGGGAAAATACTACTGACTTTGCAATTGTATGGGGCCAAAATAGGTCTGTGTGGTCCTCAAGTCTAATGGTCAACAGTTTCTGGCAAGATCAACAACATCAACAATCTAGCTATTTTGGACACCTGGTGTCTGCCTAATCCTAGGACCTGCTCCAACCAGAAGTGGGAGAAAGGTTGTACAGACAATGGTGTAGCCTCAGCATAACACAGGAAGTAGAAAGTGGCGAGCCAGGAGCTGGGGCTACAGAGATGATGGTAAGAGTCTAACATAAGAACCCAGACCAGCAACTTCTTGGAGGGAGTGGTGCAAGTGACTGCGAACAAAGAGAAACTTGCCCCAAGGAGAAGTTCTAGTAAACAGAAGTACAGTGACCTAGAGAAAAGACAGAGGCACATGAATGTTACTGAAAACTCCCTTGCAAAACAGCAAAAGCTTTGCCAAACTCAGAGTTAACTGAGGAATACATCAAGAAAATGGAGGAAAAGGAATTCAAAACACTAAAGCTTCTTACCAACAATGAGAAGCATGTAAAGTAGGCTTTCAAATAATTTAAGGAATATGTCATACTGGAAATGAGTCAAATGAAAGCCAATGTATCAGAAATTAAGTATATAGTGGAGCAAATTAAAAGTACAATGGGGAGTTTTCAGAATAGAATGAATGAAGCAAGAGCCTCAGAATCAGAAGATATTTTCCTGTCACCAGGGAGAAACAAACAAAAAACTGGAAGCAGAGCTGAATCAAGCAAAAAAACAGTATTCAAGAATTGAAAGACTCTATTAAACAGCCAAATGTTAGAGTTAGGGAGTCCCTGAAGGTGAAGAAAGAGAAGCTAGGTTTAAAAATGTATTTAATGAGATAATAAGGAGAAATTTCTCTAATCTAGAGAAAGAGTTAGGAAATAACATCAAGGAGGGGCACAGAACTCCCAACAGGGTTGATCAGAAGTGATCTTTACCATGAGACATGATCATCAAGCTATCTTCAATGGAACATAAGCAAAAGGTCCTTAAATATGCACGTGGAAAAAATCAACTGACATATAAGGAATTAAAATTCAATTCACAGCTGACCTCTCAGATGAAACCATACAGGCCTGTAGAGAATGGAGTGACATATTCCAGATTTTAAAAGCAAAAATTGTCAGTCCAGGATAATGTATCCAGCATAGCTTTCCTTTGCCTTTGGAAATGAAATAAAATTCTTCCACAGTAAAGAAAAGTTAAAAGAATATGCCTCTTCCAAACCTGCCCTACAAATGATATTCTATCAAGATATTCTCTTGATAGAGAAGAGGGATAGCACCCACAAAAACCAATGGCAAATGCGAAGAACATCCCGGTAAAATAACAACAAAAGATTAAATCAATTAACAACCCATTCCTAAAATGACAGGACCAAATAACCACCCATTCATATTAACCCTGCATGTAAATGGCTTAAACTCATCAATCAAAAATCATAGATTAGTAGACTAGATTAAAAAAAACAAATCCCATCTATTTGTTGCCTACAGGAGACATCTCTCACCAACAAAAATCAATGAAAACTGTATCTCATGGGGTTTTTTTAGTTTCATTTCTCAAAAATGCTCTCCCATTAAATTTTCAGGGACTCATAGATCATACAGTAGCATCATTTTCTTCAAGATGTTTCTTGATTTTCTTTTTCATTTCTTCAGTGACACATTAGTCAATCAGTACCATGTTGTTTAACCTCATGATATTCTTAATTTCTTTTTTTCTTCCTGTTGTTGAAGTTACGTTGTGGTTTTTCATTTAAGGGATGTACATTAACTGTATAATGGAGAGTTCATATCCAGTAGCATGTTATTTAACTTCATGGCATTGTAAATTTCTATTTTCCTTCCTGTTATTGATTTTGTATGCTCAAATCATATCCAGATGTAAGGATACAATGCAGTATTCATCTCTACTTCCAGCTGACGGATGGATTCCCAATGAAACTGTTAACTGTACCTTGACAATATGCTGGACTCTTTGCCAATACCCATGCCCACAATGATGAACATATGGCTGTTTATGAAGAACTATACTATAATATAATATAGGGGAATTCAGTGAGGGTGGGGGAGGGAATTTAAGGAACGGGTAAGGGAAATCCCAAGAACTATGAAACTGTATCATACTGTATCATAAAGTAATAATAATAATAACATACTACCACATGCTCAAGAAACTGAGTGAATTCCAAATAGAAAAAACTAAGTGATATTTGTGACAAAATGTGTCATAGTGGAAGGACTGGCTGATCTGAGAACCAGGAGAAGGTGTAGGAGGGGCCAGATCAGGCCACAAAGCTAGCCAGGGGCAATGTGGTAGTGGATGCTGAGGTAGGCAAGCCACGTCAACCTGGGTTTAGTGGGCGCTGGGTGTCTGAGCCCCAGGATTGGGATCACCAGGCTTGGGTCCTTGGGCCTGAATGCCAGGTGGGTGCTGTGTTCATGAGCCCTAATGGTGGGGGATCTGGTGGGGCTCAGGTCACCAGACCTGGGTCCAAAGGGCCTGCCTGTGAGGTGGTTTCTGTGTTTGTGAGTGCTGAGGGAGGGAGATCCAGTGGGACTCAGGTTACTTGGTCCAAGTCCTGGTCCTTTGGCCTGCCAGAGCAGTGGTGCTGGGTTCATGAGCCCTGGCAGCAGGGAATCCAGCAGAGCTGATGCCACCTGAACCTGGTCCTTGGACCTGCCCACAGTTGAAAAAGGCATAGTAGTGGAGGCAGACCCTGATGTACATGCAGAATATGGCAGCCCATTTGATACTGTCGCAGAAGAAAGAAAACACTGCAAATTGGACAACTACCCCAGCAAACAACGGCCACAAAAACCTGGGTGAATGGAGGCAGGGCTCGACTCTGGCAGCTAATGATTTGGGAGGGTTGCCTCATCCTTGGATTGGTGAAATCAAGAGCATTTCAGAACTCCAAAGCACTTGGTCAGAATCCTCAGATTATGCAGTATAGCAGGTCCCTGGGTTGGCATCAGGTGGTAGTTCCCCATATCTGGGTACTGGGATATTTGGGAGGCTGGATGTGGCTTCCCGCTTTATCTCTCCCCATCCCCCAGGGTCAAGAAAAAAATGGAGAATTAGGAAACAATGATTTCACCCACTTTTCCTAACCCTCAATTCTTCCTTCCCTGGTGAAGCATGTTATCATCATCAAACAAAATAAATTTAATTTAAAAAGAAAGAAAAGTGGAAATAGTGTCTAGAAGCTATATATAACTTATCAATCACCATGGAAGCCACAAAGCATGTTTTTTCTAGTGCTAAAGGAACTGAGCTGTCAACCCCAAGTTCTATATGCAAGTACATCATTCTCCAGAAAAAGATGGAAAGGCATAAAGACAAAAGACATCCTCAAGCAAATAAAAGCTAAGATAATTTGTATCCAGAACACTATTTTTAAATAACAACCAAAGAAACCCTTAGAGTTGAGACTACATTTGAAAGATACTTCAGGAGGGAGCAAGAAGGAGTTGGATGGGAAAAAAAGAGGGGTAAAGATTGAATTGTCATTTTCCTTATGGACTCATTAAATTACGTTTGGTGTTTGAAGCAAAATTATATCATGCTCTATATTGCTCAACACATGTAATAGAAACACTAAAGTCGTTTGCAGTTCACATGTGGAAAGGTTAGTAGATCTAAATGGAAGTCAGATTTCCATACTACAACTTGCCTGTACTACATAAACATTAACAGGGAATAAGGTACTTACAAATGCAATATTTAGAGCAGTAATTTAAAACTGGGGTAGAAACACACTTCTGAAAACACTACAGATACTCAGACTTTTTAAAAATCTTTCCTCACAGTGAAGTGAATTAACAGGTAAGAGAACCATGAAACAGAGGAAATACACACTAACAAATAGGATGGCAGATAAGCCTCAGATGTGAGTAATTATTTTATGTGTAAATAATCTCAATGTATTTGTTAAAAACACAAACGATCAGAGATAGGTTTTTAAAGAAGACCTAACTGCATGTCAGCTGTGTAAAATCACTGTCAATGAAAGCATAGATAAATTAAAAGAAAATGATTCAGAAAATTTCAGGCAGAAAATTGTTTTTAAATGGAAGTGGGTGACAATATGTTTATTGTGGGTTTCTTATTTCTGAAATTTTAAATATATGAGTGTCCCATGAAAACATACTTTTTAGAAGTAAAGTAATTTATTTGATAGTTTTATAATCATCTCTCTTCTTAATACTGTTTACTTAACTAATTTGAAAGACACAGAAACAGAGAGAGAGAGAGAGAGAGAGAGAGAGAGAGACAGATTGTTCATTTCTTGCCTTACTCCCTGGAAGGCCACAACATCAAGGGCTGGGCCAGGCTTCAGCAGGCACTAGGAGTTTATCCTGTTTCTCCCAATGCGTGCAGGCACAAAGCACTTTCCCTGGTGAGTCGATGGGGAGCTGGACTCGAAGCAGAATATCTAACACTCAAAAAGGTGCCGAATGGGATGCCAGCACTGCAAGCGATAACTCTATTTGCTAAGCCACAGCTCTGACTCTAAGTTACTTATGTTCAACTACAAATGATATGTGGAAATGCCCATGTTTGTAACATATTCTGTGATTATTCACAACAGCCTACGCCTCATACCATGGTGGATATCTGCTAGGCCTGTAGAGTGGACATAATCTGTATTTTGTGAATATACTCCCCAGGTAACAACTGAGCATTACTACATTTAAGGAAAGGAATTTTCCCAGATACCATGTGCCTTTAAACTAATTGAAAGTTTCATGGAAAAGCATGTCATATTTCTTGATTCTATTCATGAGAAAAGAATTTAATTCCTTTTATTTTATTCAATCACTTTATTGATTGCAAAAGAACTGCTCCACTTTATTTATATCAGCATTTTTATTCCTACTGCATTCTCTTGCACATTTGGAGAAATATGGTACTGTACCTTTGCATTGAGGTGCTTCTGTCCAGGCTCCATTGTGACACATGACTTCTGCTTCTCCAAATATTTCAAAAGGACTATTACATTCATAACGTACTTTATGCCCAGACAGGTACCTTGCCATCTTAGGGGATATTATAATAGCATTTTCTACAGTGGGTGGATTCACACATGAAACATCTAGAAAAACAGGGAAAAAAGGGATCTCATCTCAGTTTAGCCTTTATGTTTAATAGCCCATCAAGGCATAAGCAACCATGGTTCAAAGGGATATTTAAAATCAGCAGGTAATCTGTTATGAAACATTGTGTTTGTGTCCATTCATACACTGTTTGTCCAAGGTAAGACTGCAATTTTTGGTAGATTTTAAAGTGTACCTCATTAAATAACTTCTCCTTTTCTCCTTCTAAAAGTGCAAGTATCTTCCTCCCTTGGTAGTCAGTGTATATTTCTTTATTTTTTTGGTGCAGATTTATTTATGCGTTTGAATGGCAGAATGACAGTGACACACTGGGGTGAGAAAGAGGGAGAGAGGAGTGTGAAAGTGGGAGAAAGAGGGGAAAAGAAATAGCTCATTCTATCACTGCTTTGCTATTAAGATAGCTACAAATCGGGGACTGGGCCAGGATAAAATAAACAGCTTAAAATAACATATTAGATATTTTATGAGCAAACAGAAAAAAGGAGTTCCAAGGCTCCAATCATGAAGTAATTTTAGAAAAACGCAAATGCTGGTTGTATTGACTTTGTCAGCGCACATCGTAAACACACATTGAATTGTCACGCTGTAGTCCTCACATACATATGCTAATTACTAATTGAAAAGTTTACACTCAGTTTTGTGGCCTGGAAAAGTCATAGAGGACAGCCCAAGGCTTTGCGACCCTGCGCTTGTGTGGGAGACTCAGAAGAAGCCCCTGCCTCCCGGTTTCTGATCGGTTCAGCTCTGGCTTTTGCGGCCACTTGGGGAGTGATTCAGTGCACATAAAATCTTCTTCTCTGTCTATCCCCCTATCCATATATCTCACTTTCTAATAGTGAATAAAAGAGTTAACTTCTGGGTACTTATCAATGAAATTTATTAAGAGAAATATTTCTGTAGAAAAAAACATATTCAGTATAAGCATACTTACAATTTTGCAATAAGGTAGAAAGTTTCTATTAGTAATATATATATTAAAACAAAGAAAAATACAAACCACAGGAAACAACATATAGCAATACATACAATTGAAAGAAGATTAACATTCACAATGACCAAGTTTCTTAAACATTAAAACCCTTAACCATGTAAATTTAGAAAATCATCAAACTTGCTCCCATAGATTAGATTAACTTTCATTGACATTGTCATCTTCAACTCAAGTAGAAAGAATTACACATTCACACTGCAAAGGTATAACACTTTAGAACCATTCTTTCTGTAAATAGTAACCTGGGATATCCCTCAACCATTATCAAGAACAACAAGGGAGCCTGGTGTGATAGTGTGATGGTTAAAGTCCTTGGCTTGCATGCGCTGGGATCCCATATGGCTGCCAGTTCTAATCCCGGTGGCCCTGCTTCCCATCCAGCTCCACACTTGTGGTCTGGGAAAGCAGTCAAGGACGGCCCAAAGCCTTGAGACCCTACACACACGGGAGACCTGCAGAAGGTTTCTGGCTCCATGCTTCAGATCGGCACAGCACCAGCCATTGCGCTCACTTGGGGAGTGAATCATCAGACAAAATATCTTCCTCTCTGTCTCTCCTCCTCTCTGTATACCTGCCTTTGCAATAAAAATGAATAAATCTTAAAAAAAAAAAAAAGGAAGAAGAACAGCAAGGAAATGCAGACAGGCACATGTACTGGTACAGCCATTATGGGAGGCAGGATAGGGCAGAATGTGCATCATGTCCCAGAAAAACTCATTCTGGTTATGTATGCTGGAGAAATACTACTGGGAATAATACTTAAATGCATGAATGTTATTTTTTGCCATTATTGTGTAATTTTCTATTACAGATTTAAAATCCATGTTCATTTTGAGTCAACTGATTGATCATTAATGTATTTTTCATTATCTATTTTTATTGGAAAGTTAGAGTTGCCCAGAGAATTAGAGAAGAGGACAAACATTAGCCTGTTGATTCACGCACAAGGTGGCCGCAGTGGCTGCAGCTAATCCATTCAAAGCCAGCAGCCAGGAGCTTCTTCTGGGTCTCCCACATGGGTGCAGGGACCCAAGGTTTGGGGCCATCCCCTATGGCTTTCCCAGCCCACAAGCAGAGAGCTGGATAGGCACTAAAGCAGCCTGGGCATGAACTGGTGCCCATGTAAGTTTGTGCCACGTGCAAGGTGAGGACTTAAGCACCAGGGTACCATGCGCGCCGAAACATACATGTTTTCTGAAACTATTCGTTTTATGTATCTGAAAGCCAAAATTAGACTCTCTGAGAAAGAGAGTAAGAGTATGAGAGCCAACAAGCCAGACAGTGACATACAAGAGAGAGATACCAAGAAAGCGAGAGAGCTCTTTCCCTCCCCTGGTTCATCCTCACATGGTTTATAATGATTGAGGATGGGCCAACCCATAGCCAGGAACCACAAAATTTTTTTAGGTTTTCCACAGGGGCTTAAAGGGCCCGGGAACTCAGAATGTCTGCTGTACTTTCCCGAGCATATTACCATGGGTTAGACCGGAAGTGAAAGAACCAAGTCCCAATCACATCTCGATGCAGATGATAGCATCAAGGTGATGCTACCATGCCAAGGCAAACTACCTTGCTGCAACTGCAGCCCAGAAGCGCACTTTATATGTAACATTATCCAAAGTCTTTTAATGCATTCTCAGTTAAATCCATGTACTTATTCTACCTAATAAGCAGACTTGTATAACCACTAAAAAATACCTGAAAATCAAATCAGGAAGGTGATGAAACCATTGACCAGCTAATGGAGATCATTTTCAGGAAATGACTAACATACTGGGGTCTTAGAACAGTTTACTTAGGGCCCTGCATGATGGCTCAATGGCTAAGTTCTCACCTTGTAAGTGCCTGGTTCCCACATGGGTGCCAGTTCATGTCCTGATCACTCCACAACCCATCCAGCTCCCTGCATGTGGCATGGGAAAAAAATAGAGAGTGGCCCAAAACTGCAGAACCTGTACACACATGGAAGGTCTGGAAGAAGCTCCTGGGTCCTGGCTTTGTGTTGGCTCAGCTAAATCCATTGTGGCAAATTGGAGAGTGATTCAGTGGGTAGAAGAACTATCTACAACTGCTCCTCTCCTTAAATCTAGTCTGTCTTTCCAATTAAAAAGAAGTCAGTCTTTAAGAAAGAAAAAGTTTACTTACTGGCACGAATGCATTTGGGGTGAGGGGACCAGCCATCCTCTGTACATGTAATGTTGGTCTGCCCATTTGGAAGACTATATCCTGGATAGCACTCAACATTCACAGATTGATGTTGAAAATATGTTCTTTCTCTAGATGGATCTTTTCCATTTTCCACATTTTTGAAAGTACATTTTCCTGAGAGTCACATTTCAAAATAAGAATATTAATTAGGTCAAAATGTTTTTATTATATTGAAATGAGAAATCACAAGCAGCCAAAAATCATGTGTGATTAACAAAAAGTAAAATTGCTACCCAATGTTTAAGAGAAGACCAATATTCCACTTTATGTATCATTAGCTTTTATATTACAATATGCATAAAAGATACTGAAATTCTTGTAAAACCCTTGTAATATTTTTCAGAACGTTTCCAAAACATAAAAAACCTGCTAAAATTTTTCTTGTAGTTTACTCTCTATTTTTTTTACTATTTATCAGTCCACTTAATTGGGAACATGACAGAGAAAGAAAGAGGAGTGAGAGAGAGAGAAGCAGGTTGGAGATTTATCCATGGCTCACTCTTCAAATACTTGCAACAGCTGAGAATGAGCAAGAATGAATTCAGGAGCTGGAAACCCAATACAAATCTGCCACAGGGGTGAAATGGGCCCAGCTACTTGAGCCATTCACCCCTGTCTCCAGAGATGCACATGAACAGGAAGCTGGAACTATGAACAGAACCAGGGCTCCAAGTGGACACTGAATCAGGAAGCCGGTGACCCACTGGTGCCTTCACCGTGAGACAAAGGCCACCTTATTTAGTATTATTTTACACACATAAGACTTCGTTGCAATCATGTATGTGCTCTTCTTTCTGCACTCTGCAGTATTCACACACACAGAACAGGTAAGACATGTACTTACTGAGGCATGGCACTTGTGGTATCCATCCATCTTTGGTGCAATAAAGGTAATCCCAGTATGAATCTGAAGCAGTCACAAAGTTGTTGTCACAGTAATAGCTATAACGCTGTCCTATGGATACTGGGAAGTATGGTTTAAATCTCGTTTCATAATATAGACGACCATGATTTATGTGTGGAAAATCACAAGGTTTCACTTGCAATGAGAAACACAAAGACAGCAGATATTAGCTTTTACCTTATGGAACAATCATAACAGAGATGAATCTGTTGATCAACCTGTTATATTCTCTTACTAGCACAATTACATACACATGCATTAAGGTTTCTAGGACCAGCCAGGTCACAGAATTCAGATGCCTGAGGTATGTGAACGGTCTCTATCAATGAAGGTGTAACTGTGACTTTTTGATCTCATGACATGGAAATTTGTAAAAATTATTCAGAACAAATGGGTACAGACAGAAACAATACCATTGCCTTGAGTACATATGAGATTTTCTTCGTTGTCTTTTTAGATATGTTTAAGAATCTTTGTTAAGAGATGTGTGTGTGTGTATCTTACCTGTTAGTTCCTATCTTATTATTGTTTTCTGTTCAGTTGTCATCAGAAATCTGGACCCTGTCTTTTCTCAGAAAAATTCAATGTACAGATAGCATTTTGTATTGACTTCACTCTTTCAATTTTCTGTTTTTTTCAGAGTTTGTAATGATCAGGAAAAACACACAAGAAATTTCCCTTGGTCATGATACATAACATATCAACCTTATAAACAGAGCAAACATTGTGTTAAGAAGGAAGTTTTGGGGCCAGTGTTCTTACATAACAGTAAGGCTCTGCCTTCAGCACCAGCATCCTCTATTGGTGTTTGAGTCATGACCACTCCTCTGTTTGTGATCCTGGTCCCTACTAGTGCACCTAGGAGAAGGGTGGAGGATGGCCCAAGTTCATGGGTTCCTGCCCACTCAACTGGCAGGTCTGGAGGCAGCTCCTGAACTTTGACTTGCATCTGTTCCAGCTCTGCCCTTTGTGGCAATTTGGTGAATGAATCAGAAACATCTTTCCCACACTCTTGGTCTCTACATCTCTCTCTCTCTCTCTCTAACACTGCCTTTCAAATGAATATATAAATGTTTATTAAAAGAAGAAAGTTTCAGAAATTAGTCCCTATATCAAAACGGAGACAGGAATCATATAAATAATTTTACAGGACACCTCAAAGACCGAGAGAAAAAAGGACAACAAAAATTCAAAATTAAGAGGAGGAAATAAATTAAAAATTGAGAATATTTTTTTAAGAAAAGATATATTGTACAAAATATTAGTAAAATGAGATATGGTTTTTTTGAAACGGGTAGAACTGCCAAAACAATGACAAATGTTACCAAAAAAGAAAGGAAGGTTCAAACTAGTAAAATCAGAAATGAAAAATAAAACCAATACTACAAAAGTACAACTAATCTCAACTCAACTTAATCTACTCAAAGTAACAGAAAGTTAGAGAAGCCTTCAAAATTCATTCCATTTGGTGAACATTATCTTAATTCCAAGTAAAAGATACAACAAAAAATGAGCTATACACCTGTACCCCTAATGAAAACAGATTTAAAATCCCACAGCAATGTAGTAGCAAATGGAATCCAATAAAACATCAAAGTAATCATCTACTAAAACAATTATCAGTTGTGACAGGCACAGTTCAAAATCAGTAAAAATGGCATATGATATCAACAAAATAAAAGACAAAATCATATGATTATCTTAATAGAGGCAGAGAAAGCATCTGATTAAATGCTTCCATGGTATAAACCATGATATTAAGGAACATATTTCAACAAATTCAATGATTATGACAAATCACAATCAGAATCAGTCAATAAACTGCAGAAAAGCAGGAAGAATTCCCACTATGATCCAGAATCAGACAATCATCAAGATTTTACCACCAATATTTAGTATATTTCTGGGATTTTAACCAGAACGAGTGGAATACAAAATGGGAAGGAAATGTCAAATTATACCTGTTTACAGATGATTTAATCCTTCTGACAGGAAAACCAAACTACTCCACTAGTAGAAACGATTAAAACCCATAAGAGAGTTTAGCAAAGTTTCAGGATATAAAAATCAATGCACAAAAATCACCAGCAGTTTTATATGCACAATTATGCTTATGCTAAGAAATAACTTGCAAGACAATTCTGATTTACAACAGTTACCAAAAATCTTATATGCTCTTGGACAAATTTAACCAGGATGATTACAATGAGAACTATACAAAATTAATGGAATAAATAGAAGACACACACACATAGACGGAAAAAAGATTTCACATTAATGAATTGGCAGAATTAATGTTTTCAAAATATCCATATTTCTTGCAGTGTTTCATAGATTCAATTCAATCAGAATCAAAGGGCCAAGGACATTCTTCAGAGAACTAGAAAAAGAAATCTAAAGTTCAGGGCTCAGCGGTGGCCTAGCTGCTAAAGTGCTTGACTTGAACTTGCCTGGAACCCATAAGGGTTCTGGTTCTAATCCCGGAAGCTCCATTTCCCATCCAGCTCCCTGCCTGTGGGTTGGGAGAGCAGTTGAGGATGTGCCAGAGCCTTAGGACCCTGCCCCCACGTGGGAGACCAGGAGGAAGTTCCTGGCTCCTGGCTTTGAATCAGCGCAGCACCGGCCATTGCAATCACTTGGGGAATGAATCATCGGGCAGAAGATCTTCCTCTCTGTCTGCCCTCCTCTCTGTATATTTGACTTTGCATTAACAATAAATAAATATGAAAAAAGGAAATCTAAAATTCATAGGGAAACACAAAAGACCCAGAAAGGCCAAAGCAATCTTAAATAAAAGAAATAAAGTGGAGGCATTATAACATCAGATGTCAAGACATATCACAGTGCAGTTATAATCAAAACAGGCTGATAGGAGCGCAAAATAGCTATATGGACAATGGGTTATAGCAGAAACCTCAGAAATTAATGTACACATCTACAACCCACTACTCCTTGAGAAATGAGCTTTACATACTCCCTGGATAGACAATATCCTCTTCCACAAGTATGCTGTGAATATTGGGCTTCCACATAGAGAGGTTTGAAACAAGATCTTAATACCTCACACAAAAATCAACTCACAATGAATCCAAGACCTAGACCTTAGTCCTGAATTCACCGAATTTCTAGAGGAATAAAAAAAAAAAAAATTGGAGGGATTTCTACAAAATATTGGCCTAAGCAAAGTCGTCTTAGATAAGACACCCATAAGTACAAACAAAACAAACAAACAAAATAGACAAGATCATTTAGATCAAGATAAGAAAATGCTGCATAACAAAGGAAAAAATCCACAGAGCAAAGAGGCAACTGACACAATGGAAGCAAGTACTGGCAAAGTATAATTGATAACAAACAATCCAGTTAAGGAATGGTCAAAGAAAATGAACAGACACTTTTCAAAGCATGAAATACACATGGCCAACCGGATAAATCAGACAACGCTCAGGATCACTAGCCATTAGGAAACTCAAACCAAAACCACAGGGAAGTAATATGTCACCACACTTAGAGTGGCTATTTTTCCAAAAATGAAAAGCATAACAAATTCTAGTGAGGAAATAGGACACCCTAATCCATTATTGGTGGAAGTGTAATCTGGTACAACCATTATGGAAGACAGTCTAGAGTGCTCAGGAAACTGGAATTAGATCTATCACAGACAGAACTCATCTACCCCACTCCTGGAACTATGAAAGTGTTACACGACTCTCACATTTCTGGCACTTTAGTTCACAATAGCTGAGACATGGAATCAACTTGTGTGGTGTCTATCATCCTTTGCATAAAGAAATGTAGAATATATACAACCAGAATATTAGTTAATTATTAGTAAAAAAGAAAGAAAGACAGAGAGAGAGAGAAAGAAAGAAAGAAAGAAAGAAAGAAAGAAAGAAAGAAAGAAAGAAAGAAAGAAAGAAAGAAAGAAAGATCCTGTCTTTCGTAGCAAAATGGATGCAACTGGACATCATTATGCTAAATGAAGCACACCCAATGAAAAATGACAGATATCACACATTTTCTTCAATTGGTGCTTTGTATTCTATTGACAGTATACAGAGAATAAGAATTGTGTGAACATCAAAGCTTTTAGTAGGTAGTTATAACAATTGCTTTGCTGAATCAAACCATTTAAAGCACAAAGTGCTCCTTTTAACACATTAAAACAAAGAAATTGGGGGGGAGTATATTAGGACATTTAGGTTACTTGTAATATTTCATTCTTAATTTGCATATTTGAGCAAATGATAAACATTGTAAGGGAACTTACAGCTGCATCTTGGACGAGGCACCCAGCCTGCACGTGTGCATATTGCTCTAGTTCCTCGAGTGGAAGGATAAAAACCTTCTTTACACTCATAAGTGATTTCATCTCCAGTTCTGTGTTCAATCCTTTCAGGTGAGTAGGAGCCATTTGGAATATGAGGGACATCACATCCTTCATCTGAAAACAAAAGGAGTATGTGAAGAATGTAGAAATCAATGTCAGACAAATCAATCAACTACACAAAAATTTAAAAGCTGATGTTATTTAAATTGGCACATCACAAATTGACATGTAAATGTGTATATCTTCATATTCACCCGACATTATCACTCAAAATTTCCTTCACCATGTTTGTCTCCACATGTATCTGTGCCTCCTGGATTCCTAATCTTTCTCCAAAGCCAACACGGACGTCAGGATGTTTCCACCTGCTGTGACTCAAAACATATAATGTCAACTCTTCCTTCTGCTTCCTTCTCCCCCTTGGTTTCTGCTGTTGTCACTAGTAATTGGGTTATTTGAAAGTATGTTGAGAGATGTTCAAAAATATATAGAGATCATAGGCATACATCCGCTCAGAAAGCGAGTGATAAAGACGAACATTAGTAGCTGTTTGTACGTGCATGTGAATACATCTACAAGTCTATAGAACACTTTTGGAAAGAGTCTTATAGACAGTGTAATATAGAATGTTCAGAGTAATAACTATTATATAATTATTTTGGCACATTTTTAGAAAGGTACATTACAGATACTGAGAAAATGTTGATTTTCCTATTTTATTAGAAAAGAAATTTTGACTAGTAGCTTGCATTAAAATGTCCTCAAAAAGCAATAAATACATGAAAAAGAAAATAACATTTAGGTTCTTAAAATAAAAAAAAACAATGCTTGAATTTTTTAAAATCTTGAAGAGAAATACTGCTTTAGAGAAAATGGATGGATTATAAAAATACTTATAATTTTCTATTAAGGTTTAAGAGTTCCATTAACAATATGCATTAAAGCAAAAATACAAACCACAGAAAGGAACACATAGAATTGAAAAAAAGAATAATATGTACAATGGTTAAGTTTCTTAAACATCAAAACCCTCAAAAAGACAAATTTAGGAAATCAACAGACTCAATTCCATAGTTTTCATTAACTTCCATTGACCGTCTCAATTTAGACTTAAGTAGGAAGAAATGCACATTCACACTATAAAGATACAACTCTTCATAGCCTCTCTTCCTTAAATAGTAACCTGGGACTTCCCTCAGCAATTGGCAAGCACAGTAAGAAATGCAGACAGACATGTGTACTGGTACAGCCGTTACAGGAAACCTTCCAGGGCAGAATGCACATCATGTCACAGAAAAACCCAGCCAGTGATGTATGCTGGAGAAATTGTCCAGGGAAAAGTACTTACATGCATGAATGTTATTTTTGCTATGAATGTATTATTTTTTATTTTGAATTACAATTCTGTGCTCATTTGAAATACATTGAGTGATCTTGAATGTATATATTTTTTGGAAAGATTCATTTTATATATTTGAAAGCCAGAGTTAGAAAGTTAGAGACAGAACGGGATCAATTGCCATCCAGGAACCAAAACTTGTTTAGTTTATCCACAAACGTTAAAGGGCCCAGGAACTCAGACCATCTGCTACTGCTTACTCAAGCACATTTTCATGGGTGGGTTTGGATGTGGAACAGCCAGGACATTAAGGCATATCCATATGCAAATAATAGCATCAAAGCAACCAAGTTTGCCACAATGCCAGCCCCTAAAATACACCTTCTATGTAACAGTAAGAGTTATATTCAAAGCCTTCTAATGCATTGCCAATTTTTGTGTATATATGTGTGTGTGTGTTTGTATATATGTGTATGTATGTTTATATAAAGTTGACAACATATATATACTTGTTCTGCCTGATAAGCAAGTTTTTTTGGAAGCCAGAGTTTAACTTCTTTACTGAGAATGACAGCAAGAGAGCCAGAGAGCAAGAATGACATAGCAGGAGAGAGCTAGAGGGATCTTTTCATTCACTGGTTCAATCCTCACACAGCTTGCACGACTGAGGCTGGGCCAGCCTAAAACCAGGTCATGAAATTCTCTTTAGGTTTAGGGTATCCACAGGGGTTAAAGGGTCCAAGAACTCAGACCATCTGCTGCTGCTTTCTCAAGCACATTATCCTGGGTTGGATTGCAAGTCGAACAGCCAGGACTCCAACCCGCATCTCTATGTGGATGATAGCATCAAAGTGGTGCTACTTTGCCAACACAATCCACTTTGCTACAACACCAGCCCCTGATGTACACTATCTATATAATAGGCAAATATTGTATCCAAAGCCTTCTAATGCATTGTTAAGTGTTGTCTACATAACAATATGCTTGTTCCACCTGATTTGTGTAACAATTAACACCTGAGAAACAAATCAAGAAGATGATATAATCATTGTGCCACCGTTAATGGAGAAGGTGATCAGGACATGGTGAACATACCAGGGTCTCAGGACAGTGTACTTACTGACACGTAGGCATTTAGGAGGAGGGGACCAGCCATTCTCTGTACATGTAATGTTGGTCTGCCCATTTGGAAGACTATATCCTCGATGACAGTCAACATTTACAGATTGATTCTGCCAATATGTTCTTTCCCTAGGTGAATCTTTTCCATTTTCCACAAAATATAAAGTGCATTTTCCTGAGAATCATAAAAAGAAGTTAAGAATACGAGTTTGTTCAAGATCATAAGTTAATATCAATTTTATATAACTGAAAGCAGAAAACATAAGCATATGTGATATGTGATAAGCATATGTGATATTAAAAACTAGACTAGAAGTTCTGCCAAATGTTTAACAGAAAATCAATATTCCATGTTATATATCATTGGCTTTCATAATTACATTATGCATAAAAGATATAGAAATTCTTGCACAAAATATTTGTCTTCTTTTAAAAGATTAATTTGTTTCCATTGGAAATCAGATTTACAGAGAAAAGGGCAGACAGAAAAATTCTCCATTTGCTGGTTCATCACCAATGTGGCTGCAAAAGCTGGAGTTGAGCTGATCTCAAACCAAGAGCCAGGAGCTTCTTCCTGGTCTCCCACACAGGTACAGGGTTCTAAAGCCCTAGCTGTCCCTACTGCTCTCCCAGGCCAAAAGCAAGGAGCTGAATAGGAAGTGGAGCAGCAAAACATGAGCTAGTACCAATATGGGATTCCAACACATGCAGGCGTTAACCCAAGCCACTAACTATGGCTCCAGGCCCATTTGTCATGTATTTATGAAAAGATTCTCATTATAGAGAAAAACTATTAGGAATGGGATTTTTGTAGAATTCTTCCTTTATATTATTTTTTGTATTCATCAATATGTTTATTTATTTGAGAACAAAATAGAGAAAGAACAAAGAGGGAGAGAGAAACAAAGAGGTTGGAGATTTATCCATGGCTCACTCTTCAAATACTTGCAACAGGTGAGAATGAGCAAGAATGAATTCAGGAGCTGGAAACCCAATACAACTCTGCCTCAGGGGTGAAATGGGCCCAGCTACTTGAGCCATGTACCCCTGTCTCCAGAGATGCACATGAACAGGAAGCTGGAACTGTGAACAGAACCAGGACTCCAAGTGGACACTGAATCAGGAAGCCGGTGACCCACTGGTGCCTTCACCGTGAGACAAAGGCCACCTTATTTAGTATTATTTTACACACAAAAGACTTCGTTGCAATCATGTATGTGCTCTTCTTTCTGCACTCTGCAGTATTCACACACACAGAACAGGTAAGACATGTACTTACTGAGGCATGGCACTTGTGGTATCCATCCATCTTTGGTGCAATAAAGGTAATCCCAGTATGAATTTGAAGCAGTCATAAAGTTGTTGTCACAGTAATAGCTATAACGCTGTCCTATGGATGCTGGGAAGTATGATTTATATCTGTCTTCATAATATAGACGACCATGATTTATGTGTGGAAAATCACAAGGTTTCACTTGCAATGAGAAACACAAAGACAGCAGATATTAGCTTTTACCTTATGGAACAATCATAACAGAGATGAATCTGTTGATCAACCTGTTATATTCTCTTACTAGCACAATTACATCCACATGCATTAAGGTTTCTAAAACCAGCCAGGTCACAGCATTCAGATGCCTGAGGTATGTGAAGGGTCTCTGCTAGTGAAACTATAACTGTGTCTTATTGATCACAAGACAGGGAAACGAGCGAGAATTTTTCAGAGCAAATTGGTAAAAACACAATGCCAGTGCCTTGAGCACATATGAGGTTTCCTCATTCGCATTAAGGGTCTGGTTAAGACTGCTTGTAAAGTGATGAAGATTCAGTTCTCAGTCTATGTTCCTACCACTTTTTTTTCTTTTCCATTGTCACCAGAAATCAGGGCCCTCTCTTTTCTCAGAGAAAATCAATGTATCGAAATAGCATTTTATTTGGTTTTGTTTTAAGTATTATGTTTTTCAACTTATTTCAGACAATGTAACAAAACAGAGAAACACCCAAACATTTTTCCCATTACTATAACACACAACATTTCAAAAACTTATGGGACAGAGAAAAAAGAATGTTAGAAAGGAAGTTCAGGCCCTGGTGTTGTTACATACAGGTAAGCCTCTACCTTCAGAACTTGCATCCTGCATGGTGCAGGTTTCAGTCCTGGCTGCTCTGTTTCTGTTCTAGCTCCCTGCTTGTGCACCTGGGAGAAGGGTGGAGGACAGTCCAAGTGTATGAACCTTGCACACTCAGTTGGGAGAAGTGGCGGAATGTTTTAGCCTCTGACTTGGGTCTGGCCCAGCTCTGGTTGTTGTGGCAATTTGTTGAGCATACTGATATGATCTTTCCAACTCTCTTGTTCTCTACGACTCTCTCTCTCTCTCTCTCTCTAGTGTATAAACTCTGCCTTTCAAATAAATAGTATGTTAATTAAAGGAAGAAAGTTTAAGGAAATCTGTGCCTACATAAAAAATGCAAAAAGTATAAAATAATCTTACAAGAAAGCTCAAGGACAAATAACATTCTCAATCAATTAAAAGCCCCAACAAAACATCAACAACAATTTACAACATTATGGCATTAATTGACATGGTATTGATTAACTAATACGTTAATAGGAAAAGGCAGGTTCTTAGCTACATCCTGTGACTTCTTCATACACATTTCAATTTTGGTTTATTTTCAACCGGGTTCTATACACCTCAAAATGGCAATAGATTACTATTCAGCTGTCTCGTGTCTATTTTCACTTTAGTATTTAGCTGTTTATAGTGTTGAAGCATGAACTTGGTTGTTTTTCAGATGGTCTGAACTGGCTTATAACTAGCAAGACATGTGTCATCAGTTTAGGAACAGAACATTTTTTTTTAGTGGTGTGTGCAGAGAAATCTTTAATAACCCAGTGAGGCGTAACTAATCTTTGGTTCCCACCTAGTGAGGTATGCGTGAATACACGCTGACCATTTCCTGTCTGATTCTAAACTTTCCTTGTTGTTATCTGTCCATTCTAGGTTTTTTCTTTGTTTGTATGCATCTTCATTTGTTTTGAGGGGTTACTGGAGCGATCCTAATGGTCACCGCAAGGGAGGGTGGGAATCCAAAGCCAGAGCTAGGCAAGGACCAGAGAAAGCTCGCCTCCCTAGTCCCGAAGGAAGTTTATTATGCTTCTGATTCTGTAGATCGCTCAGGGCTCCTGGCCGTCATTCCAATGACACTGGTTTCTACACAGCAGAGTTTGGACTTCTTCCATCCCCTGTGGAGGCTCCAGATGGGGGTGGGTGACCTCAGAGTTCACAGCCTCTGAAGGCACTCCTCTTCCCCGTGGTCTCCTTAGCAGTTGGGATGTAGTCCTTGGTGTCCATGTTGATAGTCCTTGGTGGGGATCTGTGAGTGTTCAGGGTTGGGATACAAGCCTCCTCCTGTCCACCTGCTCCACTACAGGGTCTCCCCCCTGCTCCATACGCATGACCTCCTGTTAAGAGGCTGTCAGGATCACTCCTGATTCCCCCCTTATGCCTGTGTAGCTTTACTATTGTTTAGTGCCAACTCGAGTCTGTTGTCTATGAGTTACCAGATTTAATCCTGATAGGCTATATTTCAAATACTATACATGCCACATTTGTAGAAATGTTACATAATCATCCATGTTAGGATCATATTATAATTTAGACTAAAAATGTATGGAGGACATTTGGTATTCCTGGAATCCATTCAGATGTCTGTAGCTCACTTCCTTGTCCATTGCTCAAAGCAAACACTGATCGTACCCAGCGTTTTGTTCCTACCATCACCTTGAGCACACATGAGTTTTTCTCATTCTTGTTAAGGGTTGTGTTAAAAACCCTTGTGAAGAGTTTAATTTATGTAACTTACTGTGATGTTTCTTTTTTATTTATCTTTTCAGTTGCCACCAGACATCAGATTCCTGATAAGCAAAAAGTGTGTTAAGAAGTTTAAGGACTGGTGTTGTTACATACACGTATGACCCTGCCTTCAGCACCAGCATGCACTATTGGTGCCTGTTTGAGTCCTGGCTGCTCTGTTTGTGATCCAGCTCCCTATTAGTGCACCCGGCAGGAGAGTGGAAGATATTCCAAGTGCTTGAGCTCCTTGCACTCTCAGCTGTGAGATGTGGGGGAAGTTCCTGGCTTCCTATCCGGGTGCAGCCCGGCTCTGACTGTTGTAGCAATTTGAAGAGTGAAGTAGAGGAAGATCTTCCTCACGCTCTCTTAGTCTCTCTCTCTTTCTCTCTCTCTCTCTCTGACTCTGTCGTTCAAATATATAGATAAATATTAATTAAGAGCGGGAAAGATGGCTGAACAGGGTATGCAAGTGTAGCTGAGCGAGCAGAGAGAACTCGCAGACGAAATTGGGTTGAATCAAGAGTTAAAGAAAGAAAGTCCCTGGGCTGGGTGAACGAAGCTCCCTGGGGACCAACTGAGGGAAAAAAGAAACAACAAGGAGAAATTACTGAAAACATCTGAAGTTGCAGCCAGCCACCCAAGAGGAAGGTGAACACAGGAGAGCAACAGAAAGGCATCTCCACAGACAGACAAAATCTGAGTGAATTCGAAATCGATATCAAGAGAACAGGAACAGGCAGACTCCTGGTGGGAACAGGCACCTTCTGCATGACTATGAAGCCCACGGGCCCCTAATTGATCAAGCCCCAGGACAGGGTGGGCAAGGCCTTGTGGAATGAGCCTCTAGAGAGAGAGCAGCTGTGGAGTGATACAGGTTGAAGGACCAATTCAAAGATCAGAGGGCACCCCACAGCTGGAGGTGTGCCCTAGAACCCCAGAGAGATACCAGAACCACCCAAAAGGGAGACTCTGGATCCCTGTGGGGCAGAATGTAGATTGGGAGCAGCTAAACACATTGCAGTATGTGCCACAGTGAAATCCCAGGGAGCTCAAAACAATGTGCATAATTGTGTTATCCATTTATATGTAAAATATGAATAAATGGATATATTATCATAAATGTAATTAAACATTTTGACAGGTTGATATTTTCATCCTTAGCAATGCTTACTTTTGAAAAAAGGCCTCACTGAGCATGAGAGTGTAGCCTTAAGATCCTCCCTGTGTATATGGCCGGAATTTCTATTTTTATTAATACTTCATTTTGTTTCATTTTATTTTAATATATCAATCAGTGTGAGGAGTGATTCGAACATCCCACCTTGGTCCCCGCGCCCTTTCTTGCTTCCCCTTCCCCACAGCTTGTGAAATTCACCCAGTTCTGCTTATCCACCAATCAGACGTAAGCTGGCGCCTTACCTGAGAATCCGGCTCCCCAGTCTCTCCCAGTGCCTCCCCCAGCCCCTTCCCACCACCCTGCGGCTCAGGTAACCTCAGTCACTGGTCCTTGGGGCACACAGCTCACACAGCCCCGCCCTTCCCTTCCCTCTCTCTTTCCCCTCTTCTCCTGGCTCTCTGTGGCCTCCTCCACCCTGTACCTTATGGTTGGTTACTCTTGTGCTGCCAGTCCCCATCCTGCCACCATGGTAGGAGACATGTCCCTTCTTCTTTCCCTCCCATCTGTCCATGTCCCTGATCCTACCCCATTGGGAAAAAGGACCTCCTAATATCACACCGTGTCTGGGATTTGGGCTAGTGGTAAACTAATCATGAAAAGAGAACTTGGCTGGTGGAATTAGCTGCGTGTAGCAACATTAAGAACTGTAAGTACTTTAAGTGCATTTTAAAGCCTAACAACTGGATTATGTAATAGTGACTACTTTGATCAACATGTGTTACAATTACAAATGTCTGTGTTTACAATTGTATTAAAGAGTGGGTTAAAGTAAACAAATTAAAATACAGTTATCATGTGATGTTAGAATTTTGTTGGACATTAATATATTAGTCATGATTGTTTTAGATCTCTAAAACTAACACATAGGAAATCAGCCAATTAAGACCCCAGCTAGAGATGATATTATTTTAAAGTCCAATCAAAAGACACCAAATAAGGATTACAGCAGCAACAGCAAAGAAAGCATCATAACTTGCTTGAAAAAGATGTCTGATATCGCAACACCTTTCTTGAAAAAAAAAAAAAGAAAGAAAGTCCAGGCCTGTGCTATAATTTAGCTGGTTAAGCCACCACCTTGGGTGCATGCAACCCAAATGGGTGCCCATTGGAGACTGGGCTGCTCCACTTCCAATCTCTGCTAATATACCTGAAAACAGTAGTTTAAGATGGCACAAGTACTCAGAAACCAGAAGTTTCTTTCTGGTCTCCCATGAAGGTGCAGGGTCCTTAAAGGCTTTGTGCCATCTTCTACTGCTTTCCTGGCCACAAGCAGGGAGCTGGACAGAAATGGTGCTGCTGGGACACAAATCAACAAGTACATGGGATGCAAGGAATGCATAAAGGGGAGCATTAGCAATCGGAGTCATTGTGCTGGGTATAGTGTTATTTTATTTACAAGGTTTTTGTTCTTGGGTGACACCTAAATCTTTATGTTACATCTGACGTTATAATGGTACTTAAAATGTTAAGTACACAAATTTTGAAAGTGAAATCTTTTGCAAACATCTTATGTGACATTTCAGGGCTAGGCAAAATTACACTCTCTTTGCCTTAACAATTTGAAGTTTGATATATGTAGATTTTCATAATTTAATTCCTCTCCAAATCACATATGGTGTGTCTTTCATCAATTTTCACCTTTTTTCCATTTTGTTTTCTTCTTACTAAATGTGCATTGGAAGCATTATCATACAGCTGAGTTATATTATGAACCTTCATTCAGACATTCTCATCCAGTTATTTATACACAAACACACACACACACCCCAATCATGCTCCCCCCATCAATACATTTGAAAATGAAGCTGCTTTCAACTCACCTTGTCCAATGACAGCAGGAACACCTAACATGAGCATGACATTGATTAAGGTGAACATGTTGGAAAATCCAGTCATACAAAACTTAAATTCTCTTGCAGGAGTGGGTTGGTGTTGCTTGGAATCCTACTTTCATTAGCAGATGGACCCAAGTTTTGAATGTCAGTGTCCTACCAGGAAACTGGCTAGATGAAGTAATTTTGGTAAATATCAAAGTTCACAGAGTTTACAGGAAATAACAAGAGATTGTCCAATCAATGCCTTTTCATGAATACCTTGAATACATTCTTGATATTTGCTTGATCAAATGATAGCTGCTCAATTTCCATGTTGTGGTCGGCGTCCCTGCATTTGGAGTACACAAGGCTGGATCCCATTGATCTGGGAGAGACCCATGACCTTCTCCCTCACATGGAAGCCAGAGGTTTGAAAAAGGTCCCAGGAGCTGATACCAGTTCTCATTATATTTCAATAGCATCAATGTTCTACTAATGAATTCCTTTTAGAAAGATTCACTAAGTGTTAGATTCTGCCTTTACAGTTTTCACATTTTGTAGATAGTTTTAAAAATCTGTTAAAAATTAACTTTGGCCAAATATACTTTCTGGAATTTTGGAACAAATTGGATTTCAAAATCAAATCGCTCAAATGAGACTTTAATAATGGCAGTGTGAAGGGATTGCTATCTATCTTTTCTTCCTCCAAAATGAAGTGATAATAACTTGATATATTCCCTTTTAAAAAATTTTTTTTATTTATGTTTTTTACAATCGTTACATAATTAGGGTTAAAAGGTTTCATGTGCTACAGGAAGATGGGTAAGACAATTAGTTCTGTATTGTTTCCTTAACATATCTGATGTAAAAGGGAATTTTAAGGGAGAAGCCCCACCCAGTCTCTCACCAGCCCCAGGTCCCTAATGTGGCACATGCTCTGCGGGTCTTGCTAAGTGGTTTTGATAGTTCAACAGTTATGAATTACTGCCAATCTCACCACTCCAAGCATGATGAGGTCGTTGAAGAATCCACTGATTGACATAATCCATCATACAGTCTCCAATTGCCCAGTTTTTCACTGCCAATATATACTGAGGGGGTTGATTTGCTTGTTCTGTCCTCTGTCTTTTCATGGTTAGGGTTCTGAGTCTGGCATTTCAATTGGGGAGATCCCCAAAGAAACTGTCTGAGGTGCTCCCAAACCAGATTCTTGTATGTACTAGCAAATACAAGGCCGGCACTGTCCATTGTCCCGATCAGTTAGTGGTTGCAATTGCTGGGTTGGTTCTGTTTCCATCCCTGTCTTCCACTGGAACCAACGGGTGTTGCAGTCCAGGCTGGTTCTGCCCAGTACATACTCGGCCCTCACACAAACCAGTGTGGGCTGCAGCAGTCCTACTAGTTGGGCACGCAGTAAAGAGGCTGGCCAGTCAGAATTTCAATAGGGAATTTGGGAGTAGGAGACACCAAGAAAATGCCCCTTAAAATGCCCCTTGACACTGACCAACTGGTATCCAGAAGCTTATGGTCACGCAGCAGGCTGTGTCCAGATAGACAAACCAGGGAGCCCTGTGAGCGGCTAGTCCTTCACTAAAGCTGGGAGGGAAGTGTCAGTGTTCTTAGTTGAAAGGCATTTCTCCAGTCACTCGCAGGCAATGGTCAAACATAAGAATCTCATTGGCTCAACCTCTGAGATGTCAACCAGGCAGTGATGCGTTGACTAATAAGCTATGCTGACTGAGAAAGCTTCCAATGTAGAAGTCTCCATATACACAGGGGACAGTCAGGAAATAAGAAGTTGAAGCTTTCACAAGCATTGGAAAGTAAATTCAAGTAAGCAAGTTTGTGTAAAGCATAATTTTGAAAATCAGAGCAAGTCTTTAGTTGGCTGTGTATGTGCCCAAATTCAATATTGGACTATTAGGATTCAATTCCCAGCTCTGGTTCTCGACTCCACTTTCCACCTTTTCAGATCATGGGAGACAGCATGGATGACTCATTAATAGAATTTCTGCCAGTCATGTGGGTGACCTCGATTCAGTTCCCACATCTGACCTTCACCCTGGCATAGACTCAAAAACTGTGGGCATTTGAGAAATAGACCAGACAATGAAAATCCTCTCTCCCTGTTTCTCCCGCTGTTTCTTTTCAAAGAGCAAAGTAAAAAATATTACCGGAGAAAAGAACTGTTAGTAGACATCCATTTTGTGTTCAACCATGTGTGTTCTCACAAGTTTATTAAAAGCATTTTTCTGGTTCACAGTGTCCTACCTAGACCCATTATTCCAAACTCTCTCAGAAAGTCTCATTGGATATTGGCTAGCGGAGTAAAATGTCACTTCTTGGATACGTTCATTTCAGATAATCTTACATACTTGAATTGACATAAATTGCACATCAGCAAATTGGTGAAATTTCAACTCATACATTACTAACTTCCATTAATTAATTAAAGTGATTTAAATCAGCTTTGTAAGTTTAGTTATCCAAAATGCTAATATATGACAATTAATCATTAGATGTTAGCTTGTACAGTGATCTGTTAATTATGAATAAGCCTGAATTATTTTAATGTATGATTCCAGTATGATTTTTAAGATTTATGATTATTCCTCAATTTTTTGATTAAATGGGCATATCAAAAACCTTCCTAGCATTTGGTAGCTTCTATTAGAAGCTTCAGGATTCATAGAAGAATCCTGACATTGATATTTTTAACTAAACAGAATATGTCCGTTGATAATAACTGGGAAGTATTTTTTACTTTCCCATAGAATAAGAAGATCTAATTTGATACTCTGTATATAGAAAACATCAACATTTCATGTAATATTTGATGTGTTTTCTTTCACATTTGTTGAAATAATGTAAAATTCAAGGAAGTTCATGCTTTCAATTTTCACTTAGTCACATGGCTCTGAAGTTACAAGAGTTTTGTTCCATTCTTTTCCACTGCTAAAAATCTCTTTACCTTCCACTTGCTCACATTTTGAAAGCTCCTTCCTTCAGAAACGCATTCAGTGATGTTCAGCCAATATTCATTCAGACCATAACCAGCAGGCCTTAAAAAGTTCATGAAAAGGGCCCAGTTTGGTAGCCGAGTGGCTAAAGTCCTCACTTGCACATGCCAGGATCCCATATTGGTGTCGGTTCATGTCCTTACAGCACAGCTTCCCATCCAGTTCCTTGCTTGGGCATGGTTCCAGAGACCAGCTCAGGCTGACTCGAGAACTTGCAAAGGACGCATGGATCAAAGAGAAGATAGAGGAGAGACACCATGGGCCACCATGACATGATGCTCATAATGGACAACTCAGAAAAGTTGCCCTCCTTATTTATACATAAACTATCACAAGATTTTGCACAACATTCAATTCTTTCATTTTTATTTCATTATATAAGAATGACTACAAGAAAAATCCAAAAGAACATTATTGTTATTTTACTTCAGAGAGAATATTTTCAGTAAGCCATTGCTCGTTCAATACTTCAGTCACCCAGCTGAAGTCAGGAACTCCACAGTTGGCAGAACATGTGGTTACATAGTGAGAGGTGGTTTCCTTATATCCAAAATCAATTTTCACTAAACCTATTGTAGTATTACTAAAAATCTTAAGAATATAAGATTAAAAGGAAATCCTATGAATGAGAGAAACTTATAAAGGTAAATATCGTAGATTCATTACTAAATTATAATCAATCATATGCTAATTGCTATCACTTTAACCTAGTAGTGATTCAATCATTCTTTGTTTTTGTCTTGTTGGTGGTTGTTATTGTTGTTGTTGTTGTTAAAGGGCAGTGAAATGGAGCAGGGCAACTCGGCCTTTCTACAAACAGAGGGTCTTTACAAGAAATGTTTTTTCTTTATCAACTGATTTCTTTCCTTAAATATAAATGCCACTACAAAGTACAAGTTTTAAGCCATTTTTCTTTGGAGGTTCACATTTGCTTCCCTTTAGAAGATGCCCCATACACTTTCTGCTTTCCAAGGTGAGAAACCAAAATGTGTCATTGCAGGTGTTGTAACGGTTCAAGCCTGCACAATATAAACAAATTCTTTGTAATTCCATATTGCCATCTGTTCCAAGATATTGCAGGTCATTTCTTAAGGAGAACATTACTTATATTAGGACAAGGCCCGGGACATAAGTGGGCACATAAAAGGAAGTTTAGGGACATTGCGGGCTCAAATGTACTATTGTATGCTTTTAGCTGTGTGCCATTGCCTTAAGCTGCTAAAAACACTTCTACCATAACAAGATTGATCAGTTTGAGGTTTTATACCTGTTATGGGGAAACATTTCACATTTGCAGAAAAGCAACAACACCCTTGGGAGAATTCTATGAAATATCAGAGAGGTGACTGAGTGTCCATAAGATGGGGTGAGGCAGCAACGAGGTGACCAGAGACATTCTGCAGGACCTTGCCATGCAGCAAGAAACTCCTAGTAGGCTTGCTAATGGAGGAGTGGTGCTAATCACACCATTGCTCCAACTGTCCCAACTGCATTGCATCCGCAGCCTGGGAAGCAGCTGAGGATAACCCAAAGCATTGTGACCCTGCAACCAAATGGGAATCCTGGAAGAAGTTCCAGGCTCCCTGCCTTGCCAAACTCAGTACCTGCTGTTGTGGCTGCTTGGGGAGTGAACCAATGGACAGGAGATCTTCCTCTCAGTCTCTCCTCCTCTCTGTATATACAGTTTTCCAATAAAAATAATTAAATATTTAAAACTGTGTTTTAGAAGATGTTCGACTGAGGTAGTCTGAAGTAACCCAGAGTGTGGAAGGAAGGAGACAGGATTCAGCGGAGGACAGGGCAAGAAGAAAAGAATCACTGGGAAAGCTGTTTGAAACACCGTGCAGTCCATAGGACTGAGGCAGAGGGTTAACATCTGTGAGATAGATACGAAAACTGTCGAGATTGTGAACTGTAACTGCAGCCCAAGAGGGTGAAGGTGGCTCTAGATCACAGAACCGCATGAGTTGAAGAAAGAGGGGAGTGAGTAGGAGACATGTGCAAGTCCAAGCACACTGTACAGCCATCCTGGCAGTAGGACTGG